ATGGGACCCCTTCCTTGTCCGTTGATTTGAGCATTGATGGGACTCTCATCGCTTTGCCCTCTTCAACCCTACGCTCTCTCAGCTATCTAATCACTCGCCACCTATTGTACTACGGCGAGTGATCAGACGATCGGTGGGCGGAGATCGCCGAACTCGCCAACTTTGAGCCATGCTAGATCTCAGAGGTCAAATCTTTCGATGCCGATTGCGTGTCTGTCCGCACCCTCAAGAGATTCACCGCTCTCCCCACTAGGCGATTTCTCCCTTCTTCGACCTTCGTTCTTTCCGAAGTTATTTGGGCGCCAATCATCTTTATTACGCAACGAAATTTATATTCAGCTTGAAAATTTAACACATGTAGGTCAGAAGATTAGCATCGGTTAACGTTTTACATTCACAGCAAGAGTAATCATAAGATTGATCGTATGGTTGTTTCAATTCACCGATATGGTATAGTTAGCAAATTTCATGTACTTCCTCAGAAGAACTTCTGGACGTTCAAAATGTGAACAGGTCAATATCTGAAAAACGGATTTTGGGGTACGGATCAGTTTTTGGACAGAATCCTGATTATTAAGGACGTGTTTCCATAACGAGTAATAATGGCTGATATTAGCCCTGAATCAATGCATTTTCTCATCTCTATCATAGACTCGTTAACATACTGGGGTACACAGTGTATACGTAAAGTTGCATGTGCACCGGAAATGTAGCCTAGCTCAGAAGAAACGGGACCCGCGCGACAAAGGAAATAGTGTTTTTGCGGCAAAGTAACCTCTATTTCGGAAAGCGAGATCAACGTCGAGTGAAGAATGGACACCACAAGTGACAGCGGCCAAGAAAAGAATTTCTTTTTCTTGTTCTTGGCCGTCGTCATTTTGGTGCGTGGCCTGCATGTCGGCGTTCTTTCTCATCACCGAAAAGAGGGTGTGTGCTAAGCATCAAGTGGCCGGGCCCAAATCCGCCGCCACAGCTCGGTTCCGTCTTCAGTGCAGCTTTTGGCTTATGTGGTACACGTTAGTTATTATTCATTTCCAAATGATATACAAAGGATGCTAACAGCAGGCCGTGTCCACAATCTTATCGGGTCATCTTTCCATCAGCTTTACTTCGTCAAGATGCCCAGCGTGAACGTCAGAGTCAGCGGACTACATCGAAGGATATGAGAGAACTAGAAGGGATCGCTCTAAGCTTTTGATGGGCTCGGTTTGCGAATTTCTTCTCCCTGGTGCGTTATGGTGTTTCCAAACTCATTGCTGACCAACATCACAGGCTATACAGGATGGGCGAAGGGTTACGAAGACCGCGAGCGCTCACGAAATTTCTTCATGTTCGTTTTTCATGTTTTTACTAGCTTATCTGGCTTTTTAAATTGCTGCAGTGATTTTATGAACAGCGTAATGAGGTCAATTTTCTCAGTAGGTGAAGCCGCTTTTTGTCTCAAAACTTTCGAGACCGTTTTGGCATGCTACTTGTAGGAGTCGGACTAACCGTATTCAGTGGAGAAAACTCAGAAATGTGATCTGTGCATTGTTTGAAAGCCTTCTCGAACGCAGCCTTCACCTAAAATAAACTGGCAATCATTCAGGTACCTTCTTTCCTTGATACGCACTACATTCCTTTAATCTAATCTATTCAAGGAATAAACAATAGACACAGATGTATATATATATAGCGACAGAAAACTACCTTTTTTGCGGCTGTGTAAGGACGCCCGGTAACATTGAGCACATTTACTATGACAACCCCTGGAATCAATTTTTTAATGCCCTATCTTGTGGTTTTTCGCTATTTCAAAGTTCAAAGCCGATTGTTTTTTTTTGAGAAGGCCTTACAGTCTTCAGGCTTCTGTAGAACGAGGACTATTTTTCAGTGACAAAATACTTTTTTAATTCGATTGAAAGTTTTCAGTGATGTATGAGGCGTTCACTCGTTCTATAACTTAGGATTGTTTCGGTCGTGGGACGTCTTAAGAGAAGATTTAGTCAAAAGGCGAATCGTAGAAAATAGATGCCTGAAATCGGCAATCCACTGAAGTTTCCTACAGCTAAGGTGACGAGCAGCGTGACTGTTTCGAAGTGCAATAGAACGAACATCAAGTCAGTGGTTTTCCTGAGCTTTCGAACTCAAGGGTACATTTCGCAGCCATATAAGTGTGAGCATAGGCTGGAAAATGAACGCGAGAATCCTCGAAATCCGCTGATGGTATATGCTCCTCCCCCTTCCTCCTTATCGCCCATGACTTTCGATATGACAAAATGTGGGATGGGATGGGACTCGTATAGGGCGGAATGCAAACCTTGAACAAATTACCAGCGAGCTGCGCTGTTTTCAGGGTTCTTAGCAAATTTTTTGCTCTTCCATTGCTTCTCGACCCACAACTATAATACATTTTTTTCATATTTGGTCGCTCTAAGGTACTTTTTCAAAACGCAGTAAAGAGGAGCGTCTTTCTTTCCACATGAGCTCCTACGTAACGGGAAGGGTTTTAGGTCGGGTATGCCAGATCAAATTCAATAAGTTTCTGCCACAGGCAGAAGAGGGACTTCTAAGAGCCTTACACGAAGCACCTTTGCTGGTGATTAACTTAGACAAAATATCCAAGTTCTCTTCTTTGTAGAACACATCCACAGGGCAGTTCGTTGCAACGTTGTCCGTAATAACTTCGTATAGCATACATTATACGAAGTTATCTCAAAAGATGGATCGCTAAAAACTTTGGTCTAGTTGATCAGCTTCCCACGATGCTTCTGTCGACTGACAATACTACTTACAATCAAGGAAAATCGGCTTCAATAAGACTATTAAGCGATTGAAACTGAGTATAGAGAATTCGAAGATGGAACATACAGTGATGAAAATATGGTATTCTTTCTTATCTGGGGATTTATGTTTTATTTTGTATGCTGTATAGAATGTTAGCTGTCGTGTTTGCGATAACTCAATGTGATCATTGAAAGCTGTTTTTTTGATTTGGTTGTTGTGGTCGTATAGTTGTAATCGACATGTTTGGATTTCTATAATCGTTTGTTGTGAGTATAAAACCGTCGACAAGGGCCGTTAACAAAACCCTCTTCCCCACTAGCAGTGAAGGAGGCTGGCTTGGGAAAGAGGCACGTACAATCAAGTTTTCTGAAGATATCAGTCGTGTTATCGGTTGATACGGCAATCAACCTAGCTGATTTCACACGTTATGCCAGCCACGCACCACATCCGGAGGTGGGGCGGTCCTGGATTAATCCAGGCGGCCCTGGATTGAAACCGAACGCCCCGGGGCTTAACGGGGTTTTCCAAGGTGGGAAGTTGCTGCAATGTGTGCAGCTACCCACATACAACCTCCAGGCACGGGAATTACTTCTCTAGCGTGTCTGAGCCCGACCTTTGCCTTTAAGTGACTATGGCCCCATCGAGTACATGCTAGGAGTTTTCCTACGCCATAAATGTTCGCAATGAAGGCAAATTTTGCGATAAATTGATGATCCATTGAAAATGGAGGCAGAATTTGTGATCGTCTAAGATGTAAGAATCTCAGAGGTATCGGACCTGAAGTCTGTTGACATGCAGTCATACTCCTCATGGCTCTCCGTTTGGTGGGGGCATAGTCTAAGAGGGTCGCTGTCGTTATCTACGCGTTCAACAGCGCGATTAATCGATAAAGTTCAAGATTTAGTTCAGTGTGACGTGGTGGTGCTCAATGGAACGCCAGTAGCGAAAAAAGCAGAAAATTCCGCCAAGGGAACGCAAAACGGGACTCTCTTTTTAGCGTTGGTCTTTGCCATAAAGGTAACGCTCAGATAGTGGACGTATGCAACGAAGTTCAAGCAATGCTTTTATTGCATCAACGCCAAACATACGCTTAACACCGACTCAACATTTGCGCTGTCACGCAGGTCGTCCAAATCAACAAGTAACTTAGTGGGCGGATCGCTTCTGGGGGCGGAGCGCTTTCGTAGTCCTGCTCAGCAACTAGCGCACCTTAGGTTGTGAGAGCGCCACATCTCGCTTCTCTGGCAACCAAGTAACTGATTCGTGCGGTGCACATACCTCCCTGATGATCCCTCATGCTCCCTTTAGCGCTCTGCTCTACCTCTTCGCCAAAGCGGATAGCGTGCGGCTAGGTCGACCGCTGCACGACAGGCGTGGAGGTATCGATCTCTCTTTCACTGCGGCAACGCTCATCTCCTGTAACTTCTGAGGGCGCTCCCGAATAAGAGTATACATGCCTCCTTCGACTTGATCCAATTTATCGTGAACTCAAATAAGCCGACGGACCCCAATGGTATGTAACGGAATTTTTGTATGGAGAGTGAGATTAAAAAGAAAAAAGCGGCCACAAATCATCGATACGTATTTCTCGAGCCCAGATAGGCCCCTCTCTTTAAGCAGCACTTTACCTTGAGATGGGGATATCTTGAAGCGTTATCAGCCGTTGCAACCCCGTTGCATTCACAGCAGCCGTTATGGTTAATCATTACAACAACAGCGGTGGGCAGGAAGGCAATGATTGCGGAACCGTAACCATTAGCGCCCTAACCGCGCATTTTGTGCGACGAAAGTGGGACGACTTCTGAAGTACAAGGGTGGGACGACTTCTGCAGGTACAACATTTCACTTTCGGCATGGTTTCTTCTAGTGAGCTTAATTCCGAGGCTTGCCTTGAACTAAGATCCTGCTATTCAGTTTTGAGCGCCGAGAAGCCTGCTCAGGATGAAATTAGGCGTTTCTTCGATTGTACCATTATAAATATTGTAGAAAAACAGCTTCTCCAGCGGCAAAATCAGCAGAAAGCAATCAAAAGTCAATTCGCCTTATACGCAAGAGCATTCTTTCAGGATGACGTATTGATAGATGGCTCTCTATGACAGAGACGAATTACGAAGCTATGCTCGTCCGTCTGAACCAGGGAGGTCTAGAATGGTGCCGGAAGACATAAAATTTTTCGAAAACTGAATCAAGGTCATCAGAAGCAATAGATAAACCCAACTCCAGAGTATTTAACATTACGTCGTCGGAAGAGATACAAGAGATATCTCAGTCGTACCTTTCATTACAGCCTGTTTCAAAAAATCGACACCGTCCATCACGGTTACAGTGTGTCGGCGGTCCAGTTCAAGACCAAACCATTTCTTTGCAACTTCCAACATTTTTGGGTCGATCTCCACTACTGTGATTTGCATCTGAAGTAGAATGCTTTGGCTGCTTTTTGAGAACAATTTTCATATATTATGTCGCCTAAAAAGCTATTTATACCTCGGGATAGGTGTGGTGGAGATAAGAGTTTATAAAACCCGCTCCTAAGCCAATGACGAGCACTTGCGCTTCGGCGTCCTTCTTGATTTGCACGGCTCCACTGGTGAACATCTCCTCTAGAACATACACTTCTAAATGGCTTCCTGTGTGGAACAGTTTGAAGTTTTCCGATTCGGCGATATCGAACACACTATCCAGGGCAACTAAGCATTGGAACTGACCCAGGCGGGAGGGGCGAGGTGAAGGTAGAAGGAAAGATGAAACCGAACTACTCTTGCAAAAAGATTATACGCTGACGTTTGCTCGCAAGTGAGATTTATCGGAAGAGTCGAATATTGCTTCAGCCCCACCAACTTCTCCTACATTCATTTCCTTCCACCCTAGCTGAAACTAGATAGCTAGGCAGCTAACTTCTGTAGAAGATGGCTACTGGGCAAAAAGGGCCGGGACCACTATTTTCCCAGGACTTCGCAAATTTCTTGGAGCTTTTAAAAAAATTTAGAAGTTCTCGTAACACCACTTATTACTGACAACTGCTGAGTTCCCCAAAGATCAAGTCCTATCATATCCGTTACGACATCCCCTTTTTAACATGGCCTTGAACGAGGAGGCTACGATAAACTGGATGTGGAAGGGGGAGGTATGCCTTCTGTGAATCTGCTGACTTCCCCAAAGATCAAGAAACAATGAGTGTCTTCAATCAAGCGAGTGGAGACATGTATCGCGGTGAAAAGCGCATCCACAACCACGTTCCTGACTCGAACCGAGCGAAAACCCCGGCGAACGTCACCTGTCTTGGCGCGGCCCGCCCCCAAGCTCGGGTTATGATTGGTTGAATGCTGGTACTGTTATCGCCGTACTTACTCTTCGTTATGAGAGGCATTTATATCAAAGGTAGAATTTACGATAAAAAGTTAGCTCATTGGAAATAAGGGTAGAGGTGATCATTCCAACTTTTTTCCTGTCCAGTACACCCCCTACCGCTAATTTCAGCTCCAGCGGGTAACGATTTTTTAGTAACGTCCGCTTTTAAGCAGAAACCCTCGACTTGGTTTTCCATAGCTATACATCTTTTGCACCCCTTTGATTGCAAGCGGTTTTCATCGGTCGCTCGGTGGCTGGCTTGTGAAGCCCATTCCGCTACAACGGATTTTCCCAACGAAACCTTCTGCGTATCTCTCCTCCGTCATGAGCCCTTCTGGCTGTGAATGTTATATGTCTTTCTGTCTCGGAATGCTATCTTCACTACTGTTTAGACCATGAATCTCACCTATCATTGTCGAAGTGTAGCTGATTGATACCAGCCTGCTCTTGTCTACACTCCATTTGCTTGTGTCTTGAGCGAGTTTACCTTGGAAAACAAGTAAAATAAGTGGATTTCTGTAAAGTAACAAGAGTGAAGAAAATAGCCATAAGCTGCGCTCAAACGAAACCCGTACAATCCAGTCAAGAGTGTATAAGGGTCTCATCCAGTAAGGAGAGCATGTGGTGTGACGCTTCATATTGCGTGAAGTAATCAACTTCTCAGGGGAGGATATGTATTATAGTTCTAGGGTGGGTGTAAAAGCTTGAGCGGAATCCTGTCACACTACATGCCCAACCCCCTTGCTGGATGAGACCCGCACATAAGCAGGAACACTGTTCTCACAATAGTGGTACATTGCATCTACTGTAACGTCTCCAGCTAAGATTAAACCCATTTTTGAGGCAACTTCTTGAGCATTTTTCAAATTCAGCTTTGGAAAAACATACTTTCTGGAACCTTCAAGTGCATGGCTGAGATCAACAAGTGACCGTTTTTCAACACTCGTACAAATCCGTCACTTAAAATGAGCTAATTGATCAATTGATAGTGATTGATCAATCGTAGATACCGAACTAGTAGTTGTTTGAAATGCAACATCAGCAATCGACGTACTTGTCATCTACATAGTCGGATAATCGAACACAGTGACCGTCGGTCAAACAAATTGATTCTTCTCTGGAAATACAACTGTTTAGGGGCACGCCTTACGACCAGTTCACGTTCCCGCTATAGTGGTAGGACGTTTCGTCTTCAGGGCAGGAAACTCCGTAGAAACTAAGGTTCACAGGAGGAGGGGGGGCATACTTAGGATTGTTGGAGCACTTAATATTTTTGTGCATTGTGATTGTGATCGAGAATATGTTCAGAGGGAGGTTGCGGTCACGACCCCTCCCCTCTCCTGTCGCCTAAATACAACCCCCACGTTGGACTTGGTCCAACGGACGGTTATCCTGGTGGTGAAAGGTGGCGTTGCAATGGAGTTTTCAATGGGATTTTCTTGCAGGAAAAATGCATGAAATAGCCGAATTTTTCAGTCTTATGTGCCACCACTCATACTTGATCATATTATTAGATCCGCATAGTTTTAGATTTGGGGAAGAGTTGGTGTGTGTCACTTTCTCGAAATGAGGGATCGTGAAAAAAATCCAATTCGGCACCATGGCCATTTGACCCCGCCCCCTCCCCTCTACCCCACACCGTCGAGAGTTCTCCCGCCCAATGTACTAACGGGGTCATCTCTTAATGAAGTCATTTCTTCGTCTACGAAAGTGTACAGCAGGATAACTAACTGGTGGTCCAGTTGTTAATCAACTCTGGAACTTTTTCACCCATCGGTAAGTGTGTAGTCTACATAAATCCTATCGATTAAGATCATAGGGTTCCTGAGCTTCATTGTTTAACGAGACTTCTTTGTTGTTGACTGAAATGAAACTCTTCCAAAAGGCTTTTTTGACGACGTTTCGGGCCGTAATATTGATTCGCTCTTCTTTTATGTTAGAACTTAATGTATGGATGATTTTATAGACCTGAAGATGGGCCTACGGCCAGAGTCAACCCTGCGTTGCGCAGTTTTCAACGGCCACGTTGCGCAGTTTCGCCCGATTAGACACGTTCTCTCGCGCGAACATTCACACTCGCATGCTCGAGCCGTCTGCGTCTCCGCCCATACAGCGTGCGTTGAGGATCTCTCAACGTGCCGTTGCGAACTGCGCAACGCAGGGTTGACTCTGCCTACGGCCCGAAACGTCGTCCTAAGCCTTTTGGAAGAATTTAATTTCAATCAACAATAAATCCTATCGTTCAACAAGATCACAGACCAATTGCATATGGAGTGTTCATAGTTGGCGATCGTGCATGAGTTTAGGCGACCAGGCGAGTAGTCGATTTGGCGCATAGGCGATTAAAAGATCTTCCACGGAAAAAGCTCCGCCTCCATTACCACAGAAAAACGATACCTTAGGCCCCTAGCCTCATGAGCATAGCAAAAAGAACGGAACATAAGCGTTAGTTTCGATAATACTAATCCTACACACAAGACAAAATGATCACTCTTTCCGTGGAAGATTCCTTTAAGGTATCGTTTTCTGTGGTAATGAGGGCGGAGCTTTTTCCGTGGAAGATTCCTTTAAGGAAGGATAGGCGTGGAAAACTACGAACGTTTTGATTGGTTTGCTCCGCCCATAGAGCGTTGTAGGCGAGTAGGCGACCAGGCGATCGCTCAATAGGCGGAGCAAACCAATCAAAAAGTACGTAGTCTTCCGCGCCTTATCGCCTAGTCGCACGTATGATAGCCAACTAGGAATACTCCATTATATTCTTACTGTTAGGCCGCGTTCATAGTTCGCGACTCCGGAGATTAGGATAGTACGCGACAATGAAAAACATATGTATTGACGGGGAGATTAGGATAGTAGTAGATTAGGATAGAGTAGGATAGTGCGCTGACAAGATTAGATACGTATCGATTGAAATCGCTGGAGAGTAGGATATTACGATATTACGATAGTAGGATAGTAGTAGAGTACGGAATTAGGATAGTAGGCTATTCCGCTGAACATATCAGATACATATTGACTGAAATCGCTGGAGAGTAGGATATTACGATATCACGATAGTAGGATAGTAGTAGTACGCGAATTAGGATAGTAGGCTATTCCGCTGAACATATCAGATACATATTGACTGAAATCGCTGGCGAGTAGGATATTAAGCGACCAGTGTGGATTTATAAAAGTTTTCATTGTTTCCGAATTTTGGGCTAAACTAGCTTGTTTTCTTGACTCAACGTTCTGTCTTCATGGTTTGTGTCTCTCCTAAATGGTTAAACTAACATTTTGTTTCCTTGTGAACATTTACATAAATCATCTAATTCGATAAGTCGAATTAGTTGCTATTGATTTGGAGTACTGAAATATACTTATAGTTGTTACAGTCACAGTACAGTTACAATACAGTCACAATGGATGTTACAGCACAAAAATCTTACTTATGTTTCAGAAGAATCGAAGAAATGTTGTGGAACCGACTCGGCAAGATAATTGTTCTTATTAAATCCAGCGTTTCTCTCTCTAAGGCTCAGCCTGGAGGGAGAAACTCAGGTAGAAAGTCGTGCAACATAACTCACCCTTCCTGATACTTGAGTTGGATGGAGAAATTGAAAAATCAATACCTACACGTTTAAATAGCTGCAAGTCATCAACACCCACGTAAGACACGTGGCTACAGATCAGAAGGAGTCTGTTGGATTTCACAGGAAATTCAATTGTGACTTAATCTAGAAGAGAACTCAAGAAAAGAAAGTAAAAAGCAAAAGAAAAGTAGGCAGGAAAAGAAAACAGGCATAATAGGAGTATTGATTTTCTATTTGTGGTCGCTTACTATCCTACTATCCTAATCTCGTACTCTACTAATATCCTACTATCCTAATATCCTGATCAATATGTATCTAATCTGTTCAGCGGAATCTACTACTATCCTACTATCGTAATATCGTAATATCCTACTCTCCGGCGATTTCAGTCGATACGTATCTAATCTTGTCAGCGCAATCTACTACTATCCTACTCTCCTACTCTCCTATCGCCAGTCGCTCAGTATCCTACTATCCTACTCTCCGACTATCCTACTATCCTGATCTCCGGTGTCGCGAACTATGAACGCGGCCTAATGATTATATGTTCATTAATTATAGATCTAAAACCTACATTACTCTTTCGTATCCGTACAATCTGATGAATTGATTGACAAGTTTATTGTACTTGTTGTGCTCGAAATGATTATTTGAACAAGCGAACGATGATGACGCATGTTTGTAGCTGTCGGCACATTTTACAGGGATCTAAACGTCAACGCTTTTGCCGAAGAAAAAGGCTATCATAATGCTCAACTTATAAGTTACGTCATTACAGTGATTTTGTCAGGATCGGTGAATCAGCACAAAGGATACGTATTGATCGAATCAGTGCGTCGTTCTTCAAAAAGAACCGATTCTCATAATCAATATGTATTTTCGCAAGCTCTCCGATCTCTTAAAACGCTGCCGAAATGAAAGCGGGAAAACGAGGGGCAATCGATAAAAGGAGGCTCGGCTTCATAAGGTCTACAACGTTTGTTTGCAAACAAGCTTTACTTCTTGATGTGAAGGTTCTCAAATGCATGCTGCAGAAGTAAAACTGCCCCACACTGCGTTCACGTTATTACGGGAGCCATTGAGGTGAAAAATCCACTTACAGAACTTCGGAGGTCTTAGGGAAAGGGAAGAGCGCTCATGTCGTTGGGGGGCATTCAAGTTAGTGAGCCAATTGCTGTGCTTGAGACTGAGCCTTAGGCAGGGGAAGGGATGGGAAGGGATTGTGGAGTAGGATGTGAGCAACGTATATGTTCTCCCTGAAGTTTCTCTTGGACTCTAGGCTTAGTCCAAGGTCACCTACCATTGGCTTTGCTGTGATGCCCCCCCAAGGACATGAGCGCCGAGGGAAGGGCATTCTGGGGGAGAACGTGAGCACCTTTATTCTCCCTAGGGTTTCCTCCTTCTTTTGGGCGTAGTCCTAAAATCACTTAGTTTTGACTGTCCGACTTTTAAGGACAATAAGCGCCGTAACACCCTGTTACTATCCTACTATATATAATCGGCTAAGCGGTTGTGTGTGTGTGTGTGTGTGTCTGACCGGAAATTCATAACTTCGTTCCCTTTGATCCCAGAGCGCTCAAACTTCTAGGGTATATAGGGGGTCGGGGTGAACACTGATGGTGGGTGGCGGAAAGTGATAAGTACTGATAGAAGCTGATAACGGGCGTCAGAATGCCGATGTCACCAACTTCCTTACGCCGTTCGGCGTTGGCAGTGGACTGCTAGCACTCATGAATATTGTGTAGAGTAGGACTGGGACCCAAATGGTGAGCGAAGGAAAGTGATAGCAAATGATAAGGGCTGATAAGGGCATCGGAATGCTGACGTCGTCAGTTTCGCAACGCCCTTTGCGTTGATCCTAAGATGTTCGCACTCATGAATATTATGTGG